CGCGCGCGCTGTAGGGAATGGGTCCTCAGCTAGAGCAAGACTAACCCGACTATCCCGAGACAACTCCATCAGCTTAGTCAACCGACAACCGAGAATCGCCCAGTTTAACCGGTGCGACAAAGCTGATGAGAATCACCTCTGGACGCTGTTGCTCCAGGACTTTCCACGCACTTCCGGCGTTCTTCTGACGGTTTTCCGACGAAAGAGAGCTCACCAAACATCCACCTCCGTGCGGTGGATGGCATGATCGCCTCCTCTAGCTTCATTTCCGGGCAAAATTCGGCTCCCGGTTCGGAATAGCATCGGAACACCATCCGATGCTTTCCACCAATCCCGTCGCTGAAACACAGACCTGTCAAAAATTAGTACAAGCAAGGAGAATCGAACAGCACAACGAAGCTCGAACTGGAGATGTTCTGGTCCTCCGCTCGTTCGACAATACCTTTGACGGATCGTTCATCCCTCCAGCTGATCCGGCTATCGACGCATTCATTGATCTCTCCGGTGGAGCGCCTGCTGAAGGACGAGCACAACAGTCATTGGCACCTCAACACAACCACAACCACGCGATTCCGGAGGGAGTTACTTCTCAGGGTCCGGTTCCGTTAGACTCTTACGTCTTCCACGAACAACACGCACACATCCCCTCCGCACCCGGGGCTCCCGTTCACCTCCCCTACTCCACCGCACCCACCCCCTCGCACTCCGACTCCTACTCCCCCACCCCATCCTCCTTAAAGCGCAAACCTACCTCCGACCCTCTCGATGAAGACCTCCACCCCTCCTCCTCCCGCACCGCCGTCGAAGAAGACAAACGTCGCCGTAACACCGCCGCGTCTGCTCGATTCAGGTTGAAGAAGAAGGAGAGGGAACAAGCGCTCGAGAAGACGGCGAAGGATATGACGGATAAGGTTGTTGTGTTGGAGCAGAGAATGAGGGAGTTGGAGCAGGAGAATAAGTGGTTGAAGAGTTTGTTGATTGAGAAGATGCCGGGGGTCGCGGCTGCGCAGGCTGGAAAGGCCGAGGCTTCCGAAGAGTTTCTCAACAACGCATAGGTGGACTCCATGGATATGAAGATGTGGTTGGGAGTGAACTTCTTGATGCCGCGTAAGCAAGAGTTGCGAAGCCGGTAAACCAAGGAGTTCACTATCAATACGGTGGTGTGCTTGAATGCGGTGGTCTTCTTGTGGATACTTTCTCTGGTTCTTACGTGTTGCGTGTGGAGTTTGGGTTTCGTCTATTCTTAATGTTACCGCTGTACATGGTCCAACCCATGTTACTACAAAAGGAAGGCTGGGTGGGGGCTGTTTTGATACCAAAATGGAGTGTGGGGGATGGAGTGTGCGACTGACTCCAACAGTCATGAACTTCGAGAGGTGGTGGTGGTGGTGGTGGTGGTGGTGGTGGTGGTGGTGGTGGTGGTGATGTGAACGCGTTTATCCTTTGTTTTATGATTTTAGTGTTTGATACACGGTATGCACGAGCTATTCGTTTTTTGTTATGTGAATGGAATATATGGTCCTTCTTCACTCAATTGCAATTGATCATGATGTCTGTGACGTCGAGAATTCAAAGGTGACCTGCTATAGCTATACAGGCTCGTTAGAAATGTGTCAACATGTACATAATATCGAATGGCTCCTGAAGGTCTACGGGTGCTTTGGAGTTTTGGTTTCGCAGCCTCGAAAGTCACGACGCAAAGAGCACATGGTCAGGCGCACTGCCAAGATCCGCAGCGAGGATCACAGGACCCTGAGAATGTTCGTCTCCTCTTCGAAACGACAATCCGTCGCACTTGGCCATCCTCGCAGTGAGTTCTCACGGTCAGAATCAAGTAGAATGGAGTACATCAGACCGTATCTCCCGAATGACATCATTTCACTCCTCCCGGGGCAAGTACCTACCCCGGCGCCGTTTCCAGAAATCATTAATTCCGCGCCGAATGATCTTCACGGGAATGTGAAGAAGAGGGGTCCGACGGTCGTTGCGTTTTTGCGCATGTGTCCGTGTCCGTGTATGTCATCACCCCACACTTCTGTCCGTGTCTCTTGACTGATTTGACATAGTCGCTGAAAAAACATTGATTGCATTTCGCAAAGACGCTTTCTTGATCTTCAGAGGTTATACTCAAAGAACCTCAATCTTGTATTCCAAGTAATTGCCACGGGTTGTATGCCCTGCGCGCCTGCCGCCCAAACGTGGGGTCCGTGCGCGATCAAAGGAGGCAACAACACAATCGCGGCCGACACCCATGAATGGACAGAGATCCAGAGAGCGACTACGGAGATATCGAAGAGTTTGATCGCGATTACGAAGCGCTCGTTACTGGCTTAACTCAGGCCGATGCTGTTACTCCAACGATCTCCGGCGATGAAGGTGAGGATGGCGGGACTGGCACCCCGGATATTGTCCAGACGGGGGTTCAGGTCGGTGACGGGGAGGGAGTCGATGAAGCTGGTATGTCTTTTCTGTTGAGTAAGTACGGACAGTAGGGCTAATTATGCTAGAGAGAGACGCTGTAAGCGCTCGAGGCCGCGAATCGGAGACCTACGCAGACAACAAACGCTCAGCCACTGAAACCGAAGCCCTCAACTCCGCCGTCCTTGAACCCTCCGCCTCCCCATACGACCGCTTCCGTGCCCGGAAGAAGGGGTTATCCGTCACTGACCTGTCTGGGTCAGAGTGGTGTGAAGTCCAGCTCGTGTATAAGTTGGAGACGGAGTTGGAGACGGGAAAGAGGCCGAGAACGGAGGCGATGAAGAAAGGAGAGGAGATTCATAAGATGGTTGAGGAGGAGATTCAGAACAGTGTGGAGTTTGAGATTGATACGGAGGTGGATAAGTGGGGGTTGAAGTTGTTGAATTTGTTGCGTGTTGTTGATCAGTTGGAGTGTGAGGGTATCGCGGTACGTGGATGTCACGCCGATACTCGTGAAGTTGTACGCTGATATCGTCAGTACAGAGAGAAGTCGCAGTATTCGGATTTCAGAAGGATACCTTCTTCAGTGGCATCATCGACGAGCTTCAGTGCAAGGAGCCGGTCGTGGCATATACATTGGAGAACAGGCAACAATCCATCTCGTCCTTCCTTGAGTTGCCAGGAGTTCCAAGACATGATAAAATCATCACAATATCCGACCTCAAGACCCGCGTTTCGTCTCGGATGCCGAGCCAGTCGCAATCGAAGGGATATCGGCATCAACTTGGGGTTTATAGGCGGTTGTTTATCGACCTCGTTGAGGGATGGCTTGATTTCGAGAGGTTTCTGCAACATCAGGGCTTAGATGGTGATGAAGTCTTCTCCGACTTGTTCATTGCTCAAGCTATTTCGCTCGATCCAATTGACAGCAACTTCGAGCCAATCCTCGAGCACAACACTCTACGAACGCTCTACGCCCTCCTATCCTCAAAACTACAAAAGTTCAAAGGCTGTATCGGAACAGAAATGACAATCTCCTACCGCCGGCAAACCGATGCCGGCCTAATCGGCGAACAAGTCTTCGAATACGACGACGCAGACATTGAGGCACATCTCACTACCGCTCTGGGATTCTGGAAAGGAACCCGGAAGCCGACGGGTGTGAAGGTTTATGAGGCGTATAAATGCAGGCATTGCGAGTTTGAGGAGGTGTGTGAGTGGAGGAAGACGAAGGCGAAGGAAGCGGCGGAGAGGAATAGGATAAGAATGACTGCCGGGCTGGACCCGAGCAGGGATATGGATTTTGGGCCTGTTGAGCAGTAAATGAAGGTGGAAGATCTCCAAGTATTCATAGCATATAAAGGACAATGAGAACTTTGTCAAGAATCAAGCTTTCAGGGTGTTGCTATTTCTAGACTCTTCATGTGGGTTCATGCACGCTGCCCTCCGCACGCAAAACACCGACCGAAACAACCGACAATCGCGACTTGTAGTACGATGATTCGCTTTATTCTCATTCAAAATCGACAAGGGAAGACACGGCTGGCGAAGTGGTATGTGCCGTACGACGTACGTACCATAGGTTTGGCTGCGAATGATGAAGGAGTGTGCTGACGCTGGGTTGGTTGTATAGGATGCGGAGAAGGTTAAGCTGAAGGGCGATGTACATCGTCTCATCGCACCACGAGATCAGAAACATCAGTCAAATTTCGTCGAGGTACCTCGGATGCGGAGTTCCTCAAGTATATCGACTGACATCTAAGTACAGTTTCGAAATCACAAAATCGTCTACCGCCGCTACGCCGGCCTCTTCTTCTGTATCTGTGTCGATACGAACGATAATGAGTTGGCCTATTTGGAGGCGATTCATTTGTTTGTGGAGGTGTTGGATTCGTTTTTCGGGAATGTGTGTGAGTTGGATTTGGTGTTTAACTTCTACAAGGTACGGGAGCGCGAGCGCGAGCGAGAGCGAAGGCGCTCGGGACTGACATGGTACCGTACAGGTGTATGCTATTCTGGACGAGGTTTTCTTGGCGGGAGAGATTGAGGAGACGAGTAAGAATGTGGTGTTGGCACGGCTGGAGCATTTGGGGCAATTGGAGTGAAGCATCAGGAGTCGCAATTGAGATACAGAGAAATCTTTGCATGGGCTTGGATGAAGACGCACAACGGAGAAGAGTTTGAGGACTTGGAAATGGTTTGGAAACGCGGTGGGTCGTTGTGATGATACCCTTCATGCTGGGCGGACCCATGCTCGTCCTCGGGCCACAGGCATCTCGCCTCGCCGCACGAGGACCGGGCTAACCCTTACTACTGGCGTTCTATCTCTTGGGAACAAATACATGGTAATATTCTTGCAATTGTCTTACCGTCGTACCGAGGGGTCCCTGCATCCAGTGACGCACCAGGCTTCCCCGCAGAATCCATATCGCTGGGCAACAGCAACCAACCTTCGACACGACGAACATTCGCAATCGCTGTCATCATGTCTACCGGTACTGTCGATCCACTCCTTGCACGTAAGCTCAAAGTACAATTCAAGCTCTCCATCGAGCGTCTTCGTCTCCTTCAGAAAAAGCGAACCGCGATCGCGAAACAGCAGAGACGGGAGCTGGCACTATTACTCGAGGCAGGAAAGGAAGAGAGTGCGAAGATTCGTGTGGAGGGGGTGATTAGAGGTGATGTCGAAGTGGAGTTGATGGAGATTTTGGAGTTGTTTTGTGAGTTGTGTGTTGCGAGATATGGGTTGATCGAGCAGAAAGGGTTTTCATTTCTACTGCTTTGATGACTTGCTCATTATGCTAACAAAGTCTGAACAGCCCTTGTGATCCTGGGCTTGAAGAAGCGATTGTGACGCTTATATATACGGCTCCTCGAATGTCGGACGTGAAAGAGCTCCAAACGACACGCGATCTCCTCGGCGCACGGTATGGCCGAGACTTTGCGCTCGCAGCCGCTGGTAATACGGAGCATAAAGTAAATGAGAAAGTGTTGCACAAGCTACGGGTTGATCCACCGGAACCGGAGTTGGTACAGAGGTATTTGAAAGAGATTGCTAGGGCGTATGGTCTGAAGTGGGGTGAGGATAGTGATGAGAGTGATGGTGATGACGGAGGGGCTCAGATGAAGGAATTGGAGAAGCAGGTTGACGGGGAGGAGAAGGAATTTGACTTACGGTTGCCGAGTACACCTGGAGCGAAGGGGATCAAAGTCGGAGAGGCACCAATACAGGTATGACTTCATCCTTCTACAAGACTCAACATGACTTGCTAACGGAGACATTATACAGGTCACCCCACAATCACCGACATCAGAAAATCCACGACCACATCTCAACCTTCCGGGAGGACGCAAAGCGAGTATTGGGGCTTTGCCAAGACGGCCGTCTACGTCGTCACCGGCAAAGAAGGAGGAGAAAGGGAGCGGCATTCCTGACTTTGATGATTTGCAGGCGAGGTTTGAGAGGTTGAAGAAGCTGTAGAACGGCGCCTACCGAGGTCGGGAGGATGAGGGAAGTCACACGGATGGATGCTACTAAATATAGCAACATGCCCATAAACATCCGCTGAATTCCGCACACAAATGCAAAAGTACCAAGAGACAAAGAAAGCATTATCTCAATGATCGCATTCGTCTGAAGATATTCTACGTCATCGGCAATTGTATCTCATGCACCGTCCCCGTGCGCGCTGCAGCCTGGGCATCTGGAATTTAAGAAGGATGAAAGGTCCTCGGGAGACTGCAGAAGCCGTACGAACTGAACAGCAGCGACAAACAACACCAAACGGCATAGATCCTAACAGCATTCACACCCGACAAAATTAATTGATTCCCGCTTATCATGCAGTGTTACGTTCTGGTAAGTCAGCCGAGCACGGATCGTTGCAGCTCATGCTAACCCGCATTTGAAACAGCCCCGATTTCCTCGAGTCCCCTCCTCGACTTACTCTTCTTCCATCCTTATCCTCCGAGCATACTCCTCCTCCTCCACCCCAGAACCCATAAAATCCCGCAACACCCCCCGCCCGCCAAACACCCCCTCCCCTCCCGGCCTCTCCAACGCCAACTTCGAAGAAAGCGTCCTCGCAAACGACGTCTCAACCTTCTCCAAACTCCCCAAAGAATTCGGCGCGAACCAGCATCTTGTCATCGATCAGGAAGTGAAGGAGAGGCTACGGAGTGTTCTGTGGCAGTTCAATGCACCGATTCGGTATGCGTTCGCGTATGGAAGTGGGGTGTTTAACCAGGGTGGGTATGCGAAGGATGCGAAGCCTATGGTGGATTTTATTTTTGGAGTAACGCATGCGCAGCACTTTCATTCGTTGAATATTGCACGGCATCCTGAGCACTACTCTGGCCTTCGACATCTCGGCAGTGCAGCCATCTCGTATATCCAACGAGGGTTCGGAGGGAAAGTGTATTTCAACCCGTACGTAGAGGTGAACGGGATGATGATCAAATACGGCGTGGTCTCGATCGATGACCTATGTGCCGACTTGAACGGGTGGGAAACGATGTACCTCGCCGGACGAATGCAAAAACCCATCAAAATCCTACGCGACGAACCACGCGTCCGACTGGCAAACCAAATCAACCTCATCTCGGCCCTCCGCACCGCACTCCTCCTCCTCCCCGAGAAATTCACCGAGAAAGAACTCTACGAAACAATCGCCGGACTCTCCTACATGGGCGACGCACGGATGCGCGTGGCCGAGAACCCGAAGAAGGTGCAGAATATCGTTTCTGCGCAGTTACCGAAGTTTAGGGAGTTGTATGGGCCATTGGTCGAAAACCTCCCCAACCTTACTTTCCAGTCGACGGTCCCTATGCAATCAACCGACGCCTATGCCACCCTCCACCAAGACCTCGACCCAGTCCGTCGCGCAAAGATGGTCGGCCGTCTCCCCTTGCACTTTCGCACAAAAATCCAATCCATCTTCCTTAAACACTACGATATGAAATACCTCCCACAGGAACGAGAGGGTATGAGAATGTTCGAGGAACGGATCGTGGGAGATGAGAGGTTGAGAAGGGAGATTGGGAGAGCGGTGAGGAAGACTGTTGGGTGGAGTAGTGGGGTACAGACTGTGAAGGGGTTGTTTAGTGCGGGGCCGATTAAGAGTTGGAGGTATGTTGCGGAGAAGGTGGGGAAGAAGACGAAGAAGGAGTAGCTAAACGGTAGAGGTGTGCGTTGAGGATGAGAGGCGTGGGAAGAGTGTGAGAAGGAGGAGGAGGAGACGAGTATATTATACCGACGACAAAGAAAGATAAGCATGTGTACGACTCATGGTTGCCAGCAAATAAAGAAATGCCTCAAACGACGTTCATCATCTTACTTTCTCCTTGCCAAAAGTCGTTCTTCGAAGGCCCAGCAGACGTGGAATAGATGAGCTCATCCGTCATGGGCGTCCCTGGGGAACCACGGCGGACCGGTTGCAACGAGATACCGGCAACCCGGGTAGCTATCTGCGTGGCTGGGGGAATAGAGTTGCACCAATGGCCATTGTTGTCCTGCTGCACTGGGGCTCCGCGCGGATGTCCAAGATGTCCACGGCGGGCGGCTAGGCAAGCAGGGTTCCTCTTATCTCCAACATGACGTGTGATGGCGCCACTTTAAATTGAACTTTCACATGCAAATCACACACACCCCCAACAACCAAGGACGACCCGCTATAAGACTGCCCTCCCCTGCCCCCCCAACCAAACCAATATACCCACATACCCTTTACCATAACCAGCAACCATCATGGTAAAGACAGACCTTCCAGGAAACCCAGTCGTCCCGGAACCCCTCCCCCTCTCCGCCCAAGACCCCATCACCTTCCCCGGTGCCCACGAATCCGTTCACCCAAACCACAACCCCTACGACCAACCCTACCCCCTCGACTCCCTCGGCACCCAGAACGGCGCAATCCACTCCCACTTCCTCGATCATCTCGCGTCTTACCCACTCTTCCACGACGTTACCTCCGCGCTCCAGAGCCACCCATTGACGGCGAGGGCAGCAAAGACGATAAAGGGGAGTGTGGCATATGTCGCGACCTATACGGGTCCTATTAGTCCTTATCTCGCTAAAGCCGATGCGATTGCCGATGGTACGTTGGGTATGGTCGAGGAGCGCTTTCCGGTCCTCAAAGCCACCAAAGAGGAAGTTGGGCAAAAGGTTGAGGATGGGGTCGGTGTGGTCAAGTCTACTGTCGGGGTCTACGCCCAAGCCGCTGAACCCTTCGTCAAAGAACGTGTCGAGCCGACTGTTGGGCCCTACCTCAAGCCCGCCTTGGACAAAGTCGAGGGCGCGTTGAATACGTACCTTCCCGGGCCGGGTGAGGGCGAGAACAGGAGTGATGCAGGCTTCACGATGTCCTATGCCGAAGCCGCCGAACGCGCGAACCACCCCGACTGGCAATCCGCTTCCTCCATCAACGAGGACCGCGACTCCCAGCCTCAGGTTCCGCGCGCATACAACCTCGCACTCATGACCGCTTCCCGCGTCCTCCCCGTCGTGTGGAATACGACGTCCTGGGCCCTCACCCATCCCCTCGCCATCCCGGGCGCATTACTCAACACCGCCTCGGACGTGACGACCAAAGCCACCACAGCGGCGTATGATATCGCCGACAAAGCCAAAGACGAACTCAACCGCGTCTACGAAGCCGAACTCGAAGCCCGCGGTGACAAACCCGGCTCCCGTCTCTCCTCCCGCGTCCGCGCAGGTTACGGCACAATCTTCACCCTCCGCGACGAAGCCTCCTCCGCGATCAAAGACGTCGTCAAACCCCGCGTCGAAGTCGTCAAACGCACAGTCGGGGACGTCGTCGTCGGCGTCGATAAAACTGCGGCCAAAGCGGTTGATTTAGGTGTTGATATTACTGTGCATTCTATTCATCGCCTTGAATCTGTTGCGGGGAGGGTCGAGCGTAATTTGGAGTCGGGGGCGGAGTATGTGCGTGGGAGGGGAGAGGAGGTTATCGATACGACGAAACGGGCTGCGGGGGTTGTTTACGATGCTGCTGGGAACGTGATCGAGCAGGCTGAAGACGTCGCTGCGCCCTATGTCGACGCGGCTGCCGAACAAGCCGCCGTCGCGAGGGATAGGGCGTTCGAGACTGGTGAGGAGGTACTCGGTTATGCTGTCGGTACTGCGGAGGAGGTCGGGAGGGGCGTCAGGAGTGCCGCCGAGGGTGTCGAGCCCTACGTGAGGGAAGGCATCGAGACAGCCAAGACAGGCGCCAAATACGCCCAAGCAACCGTCGAAGTCGGCGCAGAACAAGTCAAAGTCGGCGTCGATGCAGCCCGCACAAAGGCCTCTGAAGTCACCTCTGACATCTCTGCCAAGGCCTCCGAGGTGAAGGATGAGGTCGAGGCGAAGGCGGGTGAGGTCAAGGGAAGGGTCGAGGCGAAGGCCGGAGAGGCGAAGGCGAAGGTTGAGGAGAAGGCTGGGGATGTGAAGAAGAGGAAGGAGGAGATTGATAGGGAGGAGAAAATTGGGGGGAGGTTTGGGCCTGGGAAGGGGGTCGGGGAGGAGCATGAGGTTAAGGGGGGGGAGGGGACGAGGGTTTTGAGGGTTGTGTGATTTGATTTGCTACGATAGCTTCTATATTTCTTGGTTGAGGGGTTGAAAAGATGTATTGATTACGCGAAGATGGTCCTCCAATTGCTCTTCCAGTGCGTATCAGACATGACGAAGTGTGGCACCTGTCACTCGCCTCGGTCCTGACGTCATCGCATGTGAAACTCCCGGAAGACGACAAGACCAAGCCAATTGAGTTGCATTTATCCTCACTAGACGCATTGTTTTCCTTGCATTTCCACCAGATCCAAGATTCCCGGTGGTTTGTGGGCTATGACGTGAGCGTCGCGCATGCCATGGTTTACGTTGACCCCTCGGAAAATCTGCTATAAAGTACACCGGACGACCCCCCCCCTCTCTGACGTTCTCCTATACAAACACCCACAACCAAAACAATTCAACCAACTACAATGGCAACAATCCGTGACGAGATTCACATGTCGGAGAACTCTCCTCTTACTATGCCCAACGATCCTCCCGCTACTACTAATCTTGGGGCTCCCGTCGGCGCTGCTACTACCCCCTCCACTTCTGCCGATGCCCAGTACAATGCTGAGTACAACCAGGCTAAGCGTGATGCGAACGCTGCCGTGAACAACGCTGAAGCCGCCGTCTCCGACACCGCCAACGCAGCCCAAGCCAAGGCCACCCAAGCAAAGGACCAAGCCGCCGCCCAGGCCAACCAGGTCGCTGGACAGGCTAAGGACGCAGCAAACCAGGCCAAGGACGTCACCGCACAGAAGGTCGGTCAGGCACAGGAGAAGGTTTCCCAGGTTGCGGGACAGGCACAGCAGGCTGCCGGTGAGGCCGCCAACGTCGCCGAGGCTTACGCTTCCAAGGCCCATGCTCAGGTTCAGGGATATGCGTCTGTTGCGCAGGAGAAGGCTGCTCAGGCTGCTGAGATTGCTCGTCAGCAGGCTGCGTATGCGCAGCAGCGTGTTGCGGACGGTGCTGCTGTCGTCCAGAACGATTTCGCTGGTATCACCCGTAACGCTCAGCAAGCCGACCAACAGGCTTCCACCCCCCTCGCCAAGTACAACTCTTTCGTCTACGACTTGTGTTCGTGGAACTACCCCACCGCTTCCGCCTTTTTCTTGGCGTTGGGCTTGAGCGGGTTGGTGTTGATCAAGTTTGTCAACATTCCCAAGCTTGTCTTCCGTGGTGCCTGGATCGTGTTCTTGATCTCCGCCATCATCGAGTACGCCGGTAAGATCGTCACCGGAACCGGGTTCGTTTCGACCTACGTCAAGCCCCGTACCTTCCTCACCATCCCCCGCGAACAGCTCGACCCCGTCTTTGACGAATGCCACGCCCTCACCAACTCCATCCTCTCCGAATTCCAGCGTTTGGTGTTCGCTGAGAACGTGGCACACACCCTCGTCGCATTCGCCTTCTCCTTCATCTTCTACCAACTCTTCAAGATCGTCTCTCTCTGGACTCTCTCCCTCCTCACCCTCATCGCCGCATTCTCCATTCCCCCCTTCTACGCCCGCAACAAGACCCATATCGACGCTCAGCTCAACCGCTTGAACGCCATCGGTTCCAAGTACACTCAGCAGGCTCAGCAGGTCGTTGGTGATTACTCCCATGTTGCAGCGGAGAAGGCGAGGGGTGTTGCGACTGTTGTTGGCGAGAAGGTTGGTGTTCAGATTCCCGGGGCGAATGCGCCGAAGCAGGCGGAGGTTTCTGCTAAGCCGGGTGTTGCTGCGACGGAGACTACGAAGGTTCAGGCTGAGAGGAGAGAGGGTGCTGTTGAGGGTGTTAGAGAGGCCTTGAGGGCTTAAGCGAGCGCAGTGTGTGAGCCGTGTCTTTGAAGAAGCATGGTTGTGCAATGGAACGGAAAAGGTGTGTAGGATGATGAGCCAGCGGAAGTGGGCTTGGCTAGGATAGGATGGAGGATTTTACAGATGTATGGTTAGGCTACGTGTGAAGTGAGGTGTATAGGAGTGCATACCAGTCATTCTTGGTTAATGAATTGTATTAATCGCGCATCTCGATCACTGGAGCTTGCAATTGTGAAAATGCATGGGGTGATTCTACTGAAGCTGAAAACCAGGTTTCCCACGCTGTGTGCACACATACGTACTGTAGCCAGACACATTCGATTTGCAGGATCAACATTCAAAAGCTGTGGTACCAATTACAAACGAGATTAAGTTTGGGTGTGTACCAGATTCCTATGTATGTAACACATCGCGAAGAGGATGCGAAATGCTCGAAGATAACGCCAAGTTCACTCCATGCATATGCTATCGAACTATTCTAACTCCTCATCCTCATCCATCTTTGATGCATTAGAAGGCAGCAGTCTGGGGTCCGGCGGTCGCCCTGTCGCCTTCACAATGGCGGTGCTCAGTTTAGGACTCTCGACAAGGAATCCATCTCTGATCATGTCCCCAAGGAACTTCTCCGTCCACCGTCTAGCTTCTGCAGTCTTAATCATGGCCAATCCGTTGAACAGGTACGAATAAGTGATCTTATTCGGCCTGTATCCGTAATCAAGCATCTTTTCATGCCAGTATATCATTCCATCGAGGTCCTCCACGCGTGAATATCCTCGAATGAAAGTGTTGAAGATTGGTAAGTCTGGTGAAATATCCATTTTTTGCAACATAGCGTACGTCTCCGTTGCCTGCTTGGTGCGGCCAGCGAACATGTACCCCTTGATCATGGCGGTGAATACTTGAACATTGGGCGCTATCTTCTTAGTGGCTAGCATCGAGCGGAACATATGCTCAGCCGCCACAAGATAGTTTTCAAAGGAAGCGGGGTCGGCTCCCTCTATCAAGCCGTTGATGACCGTGGTATAGGTGACAACACTTGGTGCTAGGCCAGCTTCAACCATACGTCTGAGAATAGCGTCGATACTCGCCTCGAGGGCCTTTGGATTTCGACCCCACCTGGCGATGCCGCCAATCAATGTTGTATAGGTCGCCTCGTCCGGAGTGATGTTGTGCAATGTCATCTCGTCAAGAATTTTGTGGGCGTTTTGCATACGAGTGGCAAATGACGCATGTGGGTAATTGCCATAGTCCAAACAATCGCGAAGAAACACGTTGTAGACACGGACGTTTGGTGGCATTCCCTGCTTTAACGAAACCTCGAGGACGTGTCGCGCTTCCTTGGGGAGGTTGTGGCGCACAAGGCCGTCAACGATGATGGTCCGTGTGACGCTGTTCCATTGCACACCAGCTTCCTCCATGCCACTGATGGCGTCCAAAGCACCTTGGGTATCTTTACATACGAAGAATGCCTTGATGTATGAAGACCAGAGAACCACATCCGGCACGAAACCTGACCGTTGCATCTTTGCCCAAGTCTCGCGGAGAGCCACCAGGTTTCCCAGATACCCCGCGCCAACGATGAGTGCATTCCATGATAGTACTGTTGGTCGCACCCCGCTCTTGATCATATCTTGCCAAACCTTCATTCCCAGCTGCCATTCGTGGCAGAGGAAGAACCCGGAAATGAATACCGCATAAGTGCGTTCGGACATGGGTTCTGTTTGAGCCTTTGCCGATTCGTACTCGTAGAGTACCCGCTTGCGCTTCCTTGCGCTACAATAAATCCTCACGAGGCCGTGAAACTGCGGCGAGTTGATTCGTTTGTCACCACGCTTAAGCCTCTGTGCATGGGTAACGACGTGTCGAATGAATGATGGTGATAATCGTTGTTCATTGAGCACTTTTTCCATCACTTCCGGATTTGGAATCGGTAATGGGTCGAATTCCTTTTTCAGCTCCTGGTCAGACAAGAGGTCCCTGGCTCGCAAAACTGTATCGGTCTCAGTAGCCTCATCTCCGTGCTCAGCCAAAAGATAGTTGTCTTGCACTGAAACCATGAGCTCGGCGGCAACATGAGCTGTATATGCTGCCTCTACTACCCGATGCGAATTGTTTTCTCTTATCCACAGGGACTTCCTATTCGCCGCCGACCATAACTCCCATAACTTTAAAGCTTTCTTCGGATTTGGTGTCGAGCCATTTATGGCGGCGTATATCATGGCTGCCCAATGTGTACTCTCTGCTCTCTCCTGCTCTCTCAGCCTGTCGAAAAACTCGTCCGCGGTTACAACGTCGTCCTGGTTTTCTGCACCCTGGGCCAACAAACCCTGAAGTATCTGCAAGGAAAGGCGCGATAGGTCAGGACTATCCAGCGATGGGTCCTTTGCGAGCTCCCGCTGTAACTCCACAGCCTTTGCCCAAGATCCTTCTTGACATGCCTTTTCCAGGGCCTGGAGTTCCTTATGTTTTGGCCCAGAGTTTTCTGATGCACCAGGGAGGGCGGACGTTGATTCCTTCTTGTCATAAATCCAAGCAGCCACTTCTGGTGGATAGTCGGCCTTGGACAACGTAGATCGTTTGCGTGCATTTGTGGGATCAGCTTTCCAGTCCGGGTCAGCTTCAGTTTTCCACCTCGCATAACTCCGCCTTGGTAAGACGGAGGAGGCTACAGAGCCTGGAGGCCTTGGTAACCGGAGCAGTCGCAGAGTGGTAGGTCGCATGTCATGGAGAGGGTAAAGGTGGAATTCTCGAAGCCTGCGTAACGTATACGGTGCTGCCCGAATGGGGGAAATCCCCTGAACGCATTATAGAAGTTGGATACAGACGGCCAAAGAAAATCTGATAATCTTCTAACTCTTATCCGATAAAATCTATTTGAGCAATGCCTCAGGCAACCCTTCGCCTTCCTTACGTCACGCCGGTCTGAGTGCAATCCGGGGCCCCAGCCCGAGCCTCATTCACGTTACGAGCTCGAGCATTCATCCCAAACAAATATACTCATATACACCCTTCCAATCAAAGCAGAAAATCCGTGCTTACAAATCGTTCAACAACAATGACATCCCTACCACCACGCCCCGACTACACCCCCAGCGAACTCTCAGCCCTATATCCCTCCTCCCTCCGCCTCATCCACCTCCAAGTCCTCGCCCGGCACGGCGAACGCACACCCGTCCGTGCACGTCTCCAAAACGCCGGCGTTCCGGAACACTGGGATCTTTGCCAAGCAGCGAAACGATTCCGAGCTTCAGTGCTCCTGCCCGAAGGCTCAATACCCGGGGCGATTGGGTCGGATGAGGTGTGGAATGAGGGGTTGAGGTACTCGAGGCGTGTCGAGACGTTCGATAGGAATGGGAAGGCTGTTATCGCGGATGTTGGGAAGGAGGGGGGGAAGGGGGTTTGTATTCTTGGTGAGTTGACTGATGAGGGGAGGAGGAGTACGTTGGCGCTTGGGATGAGGTTGAGGAGGTTGTATGTAGATGCGTTGGGGTTTTTGCCGGAGAGGTTGGAGAAGGAGGAACAGATCTACTTAAGGTGAAGGAATGACAGCAAAAGCTTTACGAGCCGCGAGTTAACATACTCTCACAGATCGACACCTATGCAACGTACGCTGGAGTCTTTACACCAAGTCTTCACGGGACTGTACCCACCTACGGCGCGTGGACCAGGATTTGAGGCGACGTTCACTACACGAAACTTTACAGAGGAGAATTTGTACCCGAACGAAGGAGCATGCAAGCGACTCAATGACCTTTCTCGACAATTCGCCGACCTTGCGGCAGAGAAGTGGAATCCGATCTTGACTGGCTATACATCGGAAAGGGTGAGAAAGTACCTTCCGGACGGTGTTGCAGTCGATGGACACCCGCGTGTATCGGGGTTGCTGGATACCGTGAACTCAAGTCTCGGAAACGGGATCAAGCTGCCGGCGGAGTTCACTGATGAGAGGGTACACTGCGAGCTCGAGGCCGCCGCTGTCACGGAGTGGTTCGATGGGTATCTTCAGAACGAGCAGTATCGTCGCTTAGGAGCTGGAAGGCTGTTGGGTGACTTGAAAGACCGGATGGTTACTGCTACGAAGGAAGAGAAGAAGGGTGGAGTGGAGCAGAAAGTGTGCTTGTACAGTGCGCACGACACCACGTTGGGTGCGGTCCTGGCAAGTCTTGGTTGTTTCGATGGACGCTGGCCGCCATACACTTCGTCCATTGCATTTGAGTTGTTCTCCAAGGCACCTTCCGAGGCATCGTCACAAGGCTGGTTGACCAAGTTCTTCGGTGGAGCGAAAGAGGAGCATTACGTCCGCCTGCGATACAATGAGAAGCCGATGACGCTGCCCGGGTGCGCACCACAAGGCAAGCACCTCGAGGGTGACGCGAGCTTGTGTACACTTGATGCATTTAGAGAAGTCGTGGAGTCGATGGTTCCCGCTGACTGGATGGGAGAGTGTAACGCGGGCCCCAAGGATGCGAGTGCGCAGACGGGAAAGAACCTCTAAAATTATAACTAAACAAGAGTACAAAGTAACCTCTTAGAAGCCGGCCTTTGCATTCCTTATGCTTCCCTCTGCTGATCGTTGACTTGGCAAAAATGTCTTTGTAATTTATGGTGATTGCGTTGACGTCGTTACCCGTACTTCGGGCGCGCACGTTCCCTCATCCGCACCGATCCATCCTCTTTGTAGAGAGAGACGCCTATCAAGAGCACACGTGCAGCCCGCAGTTTGTTTACCGCACCGAAAAGGAAGAGAACGGTACATACAAGTTTTTCTCCTCGACCCTCCCTACCATCCCTCCTCCATTCGTTCGGTCAATAGAACGAGGTGTTGCCTGTGCCGGGCTTTTGCTTTTGTGTGTTTGCAATTGAGTCTTGTTTGGTGCTTGTTGCCTTTGGCGGTGCAGTGCAATTGAGCCGCTCGCTTTGAAGCCGTGCTTGTGTGAATAGGTAGGTCAATCACTCTATACCACTTCTACCAACTGACGCGTGGGTAGAACCACTCGCCTCCAGCAACCAATGGAGTTCTCACCTCTCTTCAAGTCCTCCCTTCCCTCGGGCGCGGTACCCTCGACTACCGGCCGCTTCATCGCGTCATTGACACAAACTCCACCACGACTGGTTATCAGATCCGCTGATTCCCTCGCTGTCAAACGCGTTATTGCACTACCCGCTGAACTCGCGACGAAAGCTCACACGATTAAGTGGGCGCCTCCACACGTCATTCTTGCCGAGGACGGAGCCGAGGAGGGTGATGAGCGGTTATTGGTCGCGGATGAGAAGACCGTGAAGGTCTATGGTGTGCATGACGAAGCGTTTGAAGCCAACATTACTGAGGGTATTGGTGGTGTACGTGGTGTCGATTGGGACCGTACCGGGGACAACATTCTCATCTTCTCCGATTTCCAGTTGAAGCTCACCGTATGGTCTCTCTCCGCCTCGGCCGGCGCCATCATCTACCACCCCAAATTCCCGAACAAAGGCCACGCATACCGACCCGGGAGTCCATACCTTGCATTGATGACACGGACTCCCACGGCGCATGATGCGGTGAGTTTGTTCGACACGAGTATGAGCCCATGGAGATTGGCGAGGACGTGGAGATTGCCAACTGTTGATGCACAAGGGTTACAGTGGTCATCGTGTGGACAATGGCTCGCGGTCTGGGATTCTTCGGTCGAGTATTCTATCCATATCTACACTGTCGATGGACGCTCGTTGAAGAGTTACTCCGCCTACCGGACGGGAAGTGAAGGCGCACCTGGGCTGGGAATCAAAACTGTTAGCTGGAAAGGCGACTTCCTCGCGTTAGGGAGCTATGACGGCAAAGTTCGGTTGTTGAATCAGTGGTTTACGCCCGTGTTGGAGTTAACGCACTCCAGCACAATCCGCTGCGGTGCGAAAGTTTGGAGGGAGATTGCTGCTGCTCCCGCGATGGGTGTGACGCCCGGATACGAGATCGCTAGTCAGCCGTGTTGTCCTCCTACGTTCAATGTCACTGGCACGGGGGCGGATGTGGTGGGCAAATTGGGCGTAGGGGTGTGTATGTTCAATGCGGATGGGACACTGTTGGCGACGAGGACGGATCATATGCCTACCACGCTCTGGATCTGGGACCTCCGTATCCTCGCACCCATCGCTATCCTCGTTCAACGCGCCCCCATCCGGTCCGTGCAGTGGAACCCAACGAAACGGGGGCTTCTCGCCATTATCTGTGCCGGTACCGAAGACGATAAAGGTCGGACGAGGAAGGGTGGCCCAGATGTATCTTTATGGAGTGAGGAATGGGAGACGCCCCGCGTCGTCCGCGTTCCCGTCGAGGGAGGTGGGTTCGAGGTTGGGTGGTGTAGGTGGGTTGATGATGTGGTTCCTGAGGAGGAGGTGGAGGAGGGGAGGAAGACGAGTGTGTTGATTGGGAATAGGGAAGTTTGGACGATGGGACGCATATTGGAGGAAGATGATGTAGACGGTGAGGCCGCGGAGGACCAGGGGCCGGTAGAGAGTAAGGATAGTGGGGTGAGTGGGGTTAGCGACGGTAAGGTTGGGGAGGAGAGTTTGAGTGAGATATTGGGGTTGAAGAAGGATGGAATTGAGGTCCAGGCCTAAGCCCAGCACGAGCGAAGGTCAGATACACGAACGGAACAGCCCTCTAAAAACAACAGAGCAGCACGATACAGCACTCAGCGCGAACCGGAAGCGAAAAACACAGAAGGGGACGGACGATATTCGATGTATATCACACTATACACACAAACACTTTGGCGAACTGGAGTTATTTATGCTTTTTCGTCGGGTTTCCGGTTCGGTCACATTCTCTTGGTTCTTGTTTTTTATATTTGTTTATTGTGGGAGGAAAGATGGAGATGGGGGAATAATGTCGTGGGTGAGAGGGGAGAAGGTAATGTAGCACGCTCACGGTCTTTACGCTATACCTGAACTAACTTAATACAATCATACGCAGTCATAACATTCACCTCCCACTACCTCAACCCCCTCCACATTGCTGAGTATCAATCAAGCCTCCCATACTTCTCCTCATACCTTCCAACCGTCCCCCTCAACCCCTCAACAACCCCCACCATCTCCTCCTGCTCCCGATCCATCTCGCCCACCAACCCTTCCAACTCCGACACTCGTGCACGCAAAACCTCGTTTTCGCGAACACGCAGTGATAACTCGAGCTCGCGCTGCGCGGAGCGGGAGGCGGAGAGCATGGAGCCCAGTGTCCGGTTTTCGGAGAGGGTTTGGGAGAGTTTTGTGTGGAGGCGGCGGAGGAGGGCGCTATACACGTACCACTCTTTCGTCAGCGTTGCTCTCCTGTTGGTAGAGGAGGGAGAGGCGGGATGTACCTTGTTTCGAGGGGTACGGCGTTGACATTGTCGGACGCCGACAAGACTTCGAGATCTTCACGTAGCTTACTAATCTCCTCATCTTTTGCGTCCAACTGGAATTTGAGGGTACGGAATGCGCGATCGATAGCTGGATCTACCGTGAATTGACCAGTCTTCCCTCCCCCAGCGGAGAGGAGTGTTGATAACCGCTGGACTTCTTGCTACAACCACACACTAGTCAGCCATCAATTGAGTTGGTATCACATCAGTGGAGGAAACGTACGAGAAGAGATTGAACTTCTGCTTCCTTTTTGCGGAGGATGGCTTTATGGCGGAGTTCACCGGACTGGATCGGGGGGGAGGAGGGGGGATCAGCGGTGGAGGTTGTGGAGAATTGGGAGAGGAGACTGGGCGGGTTAGGTGGAGGTTCCATTGCTTATTTGGAGAGGAAAATGCGTAGAAAGGACGCTGGTTATGGGGCAGCTGGAGGACGTCGAGGTTGATGCTCCTGAGGTCGGACGTACGTATTTCATTTCGGCTGAAAGCTCCCACGGCACGAGACCGATCGATATCGACTTCTCATGTTACACCGGATTCACAAGAAGAAAGACTGCTTTGAATCAAGAAGCAATTCCATGAAACAAATGACCATTGGATATACAAAATGGATGGCAAGAAAGATTGAAAGTTCCCTCACGAACCTTTTCGCATTTTGCTTGGCGGGTCGGGTTCTGCAGGGGGTCTCATGCAGGCTCACGCGAGCTTAGGACTTAGACGATCCCAATGACAACGTTGGAACGGATGCGGCGAAAAAGAGCAAACCAGCTGAACCAGCATACATCCCCGACACTCAATTGACCGTCTATCAGTCTCTTTCACCCGACGGGACACTCTCTCCTGTCTCTTTACGTCTTTCCACTCGTTTCGGTAACGCGGTACGCTCCCGTCTCCCGACTCGCTCTCTTTCGTCTCGAATTTAAACGACCTCATCGCGTACCACACATCAACCACCACCACGCACCCCGTGTTTAACAATGCATATGGCCGAGGGAGCTACGACGGCTTTCTCCGTAACGGATGTTACCACATTGAAGGAACGGATGCAGGCGATTGATGCTACCTCGACTGAGCAGCAACGGAAGGCTGCTGCGGATGCCGCAAAGGTTGAGAAGGACTTTTATTGGGCGTATACCGAGGAGCCGCATCAGACGAGACGGCAAGCGATTTTGAAGGCGCATCCAGAGGTAATTGACTCTCTTCCGAGAGTGTTGGTGAGGCAATTGGCTAATGAATGCTCCTTATCCATATCAGATCTCAAAACTCAACGGACACGAGCCATTAACAAAATACGTCGTTCTCCTCGTCCTCGCAATCCAATTCACCTGCGCTTACCTCCTCCGCCATACCCCCGTCCTCTCATGGCGATTCTTCCTAACAGCATACATCATCGGCGCGACCGCCAACCAAAACATCTTCTTGGCTATTCATGAGATGTCGCATAACTTGGGGTTCAAGTCGCCCTTGGCGAATCGGTTGTTTTCGATTGTTGCCAATTTGCCGATCGGATTGCCGTATAGTGCGGCGTTTCGGGGGTATCATATTGAGCATCACAAGTTTTTGGGGGTGGATGGGATTGATACCGACCTTCCAACCAAATTCGAGGCGATGTTGTTGCACAATATCCTCGGAAAGGCTTTCTTCTGGTAAGTTTTGATGAATAGGTTGACAAAATGAGACTAACTCTGATGCTTACAGCACCTTCCAAATCCTCTTCTACGCCATCCGCCCCGTCATGGTAAAAGCCCAACCCTTCACCCGAATCCACTACCTCAACCTCCTCACCCAACTCTCCTTCGACTACCTCCTCATCCACTACCTCACCCCCAACGCCCTCTACTATCTCATCCTCTCCTCCTTCCTCGCCGGCTCCCTCCACCCCGTCGCAGGCCACTTCATCGCCGAACACTACGTCTTCGACACCTCCAACATCAACCCCGCCGAAACCTACTCCTACTACGGCCCCCTCAACATCGTCACGTATAACGTTGGGTATCACAATGAACACCATGATTTCCCGTTTGTGGCGTGGACGAGACTACCCGAGTTGAGGAGGGTTGCTAGGGAGTTCTATGAGCCGTTGCCTAGGCATGGGAGTTGGACGAGGGTTATTTGGGAGTTTATTTGGAGTGGGGATGTTGGGATGTATTCGAGGGTTAAGAGGAAGGAGAAGAAGGAGAGGATGGGGGAGATGGCGAAGGGGCTTTGAGCTCTCGAGTGTGCACGGTGCTTGTGGAGGTGGTTGTTGTTGTTTCAAAAGTTGAGTGGGTGTCATTGGACGATGAACATTGGTTGACTTCGTTTGACAAAAATTTGCCGTGGTAGGCCGCGGCCGATATACGGACTGGGATTTACTTTACTTGGCTACCTGATATATTTTCTCACGTTCAGCCGACCACTCTCAAACTTGACGTCGACGATATCGATACCCCGCCACTATACAGATCACGGCGGCCAACCGGCTAAGCCTTCCAATCAACTTCTTACGTGAGAGTGAAGCATGCCGAACTTTTGAAGATAGGCGTCACCTGAATCTGGCGTGGCTTCGGGACTTGAACACGATCAGCATGACCGACGCAGCCAAAATGCAACCACGGCGTATCCGATCGGACAATTAATCTTAAGCGACCCCGCCTCGAGTCTATGGCCATGGCCAAGCTATGACGGGCATCAAACACACGTAAATACGAGAGGGAATCAACGAGCAGGGGGCGTCTGCAGGAGATCCCCACATCCTGCCGCCGTGGCAGGTGTATCGGAGGCGGTGATCGCTCTCTTGAGCCCCGAGATCTCTTATTCTCGGGGTAAGGCCTGTTTCGGACGAGCTTGTCCACTTCCTTGGCTATGGCTACCGTGCTCGAGCTGAACCTTAAAGTTCGTGGTTGTGTATAAGGGGCAGATCGACAGTGTAGCCGAGCGGGTCGGATGGGAAAATCTTGATTTGGAGGAGGCTCAGCTCAGGTTTCGTCCGACGAAGATGATGTAGGAGGCTCTTCTGCTGGTTACAGATGTTCTGATTTGGGTATAAGAGTGCGCGTCCTGCTGCTGCCTAAGGAGGGTGTCAAAGATCGACGGCCTTGCGATTGCTCTTACCAGCCATGAAATTGAACCTCTACGCCCTAGCGCTCTTCGCAGCCAGCCTGACCTCCGTCGCCTCGGCTGCTACGTCTTGTTCTTACTCGGGAGAAGTCCCTGATCTTGTCGACATCACCATCGATGAAATCGCAACCTACCTCGAAAGCGGCACCTTCACCTCCGTAGACCTCACGACGGCCTACCTCGCCCGTATCAACGAGGTCAACCCTATCCTGCACGCCGTCATCCAGATCAACCCAGATGCCATCGCAATCGCCGCCGCTCTCGATGAAGAGCGCAAGATGAATGGTACCCGTGGTCCTCTTCACGGTGTTCCGATTTTAATCAAGGACAATATCGCCACTGCGGATAAGATGAACACCACTGCTGGTTCCTTCGCTTTGGCAAATGCTAAGGTTCCTCGGGACTCGACCATGGCTGCGAACCTGAGGAAAGCTGGTGCGGTGATCCTCGGCAAGACCAATCTCAGTCAATGGGCGAACTACAGGAGTAGTAACAGCTCTAATGGATGGTCCGCAGTTGGCGGACAAGTGTACGCTGCCTATGTCCCCATGCAAGATCCCAGCGGAAGTTCATCCGGCTCTGGAGTCTCGAGTAGTATCGGCTTAGCCCTCGCTGCGTTGGGAACGGAGACGAGTGGGAGTATCCTGTCGCCTTCGCAGAGGAATAACTTGGTGGGGATTAAGCCGACGGTTGGATTGACGTCACGGGCACTTGTTGTGCCTATTTCTGAGCATCAGGATACGATTGGTCCCATGGCGAGGACGGTGAAGGATGCGGCGCATATTCTTTCGGCTATTGCGGGGAAGGACCAGTATGATAACTATACCTCGGCTATCCCCTTCGATACTATTCCCGATTATGCTGCCAACCTTTCAACTTGTGGCTTGAAAGGTGCGAAGATTGGTATCCCTCGCAATGCCATCAGTTACACCGCCAACAACACTAATGCCCCCGTCGTCACTGCCTTCAACTCGTCTGTTCAAATCCTCTCCTCCCTCGGGGCGGAGATCTTCGATAACGCAAACTTCCCCGCCTATGCCGAGCTCCGGAACTCCACCAACTCCACTATAGTCCTCAACCTTGACTTCGAGACGGACTTGGCGAATTACTTCTCCGAACTCTCCTACAACCCTCAGGATGTGCACGACCTCGCCGATCTCGCAAACTACACCATCAATGATCCCCGCGAGGACTACCCAGACAGGAACATCTACACGTGGCAACAAGCCCTCAACCGCACCGCCTACGGTAACACCTCACCCGAGTTCTGGGCCGCATACCAAGCGAACCTCTATCTCGGCGGTTCCGGCGGAATAGACGGCGCTTTGGAAAGCATGGGCGTTGAAGGCGGTCTCGACGCCTTGATCCTCCCTACCGATTTCGCCGCCGGCATCGCCGCAATCGTCGGTTACCCCGTCGTCACCGTCCCCCTCGGTTTCTACCCCCAAGGCACGAACGTCACGTACAACTCCCGCGGTGATCTGGTGGCGATTGCGCCTAACGTGCCGTTTGGACTCGCGTTTTTGGGAAGGCCGTTTAGTGAGCAGAAGTTGATTCAGTACGCGTATGCGTTTGAGCAGGCGACGTTGGTGAGGAAGAAAGGTCCGAAGCCGTATATTGTGCCGAATGTGGAGGTTATGGATGGGGTTGCTTAGGGCGTGGAAGTGTGTGTACACGTGGACGTCAATGGAGGAGGAGTGTCGGTGATGGACTACTAAAGCTTCTTTGTATATATTTGATGGTTTATGAGTGTGTCGCTCGTCTATTTGTTTACCGAGGTACAGAAATAAGAGATTTTGTTGATAGTTGTTCCTCTCGCCAAACAACCTCTCTGCTCAAGGTTCGCTGAAGTATCGACTGAAACGGCACTAGCGCTTTCCCGGCCCGTGTTTCAGATCAATACCTGGAGGTCCATGCAACCAATCAAGGAAACAATTTAGTCAACTTGATTGCCGACAGAACGACAAACCGTTCAGCTATAGCTGAAGACGTTCGGTAACCTGCCTAATACCCACGTACGGGCTTCGTGTCCATGGCCTCGGATATGCGTCGTTTACTTGTACACGCGGTGCATCGGGCTGGCAGTGGTATCTTTCACTCTTAACGCTCTCATCTAGCAACTACTCATTGCGATCGACACTGATAGAGCCATAACGTGTCGTGATCACCCCGTGCCCCATCTACACGGCTTGGGTCTTCACTTTGGGTTCGATCGCCTCGGCGAATCCTTTGGAGCGCATATATTGCAGGAGTCAAGGAAATCGTCTTTCAGCAACGTTCGAAGCAAGGCCAACGGCCCGCACTATATGTGAACATGATAGGGTCACGGGAAGGTCTGATCAATATACTGGGGGTGGGGTCCCAGAACGTCAAAACGATGGCCCCCGCCATGGGACGGCTTGGAAGCCGTCGCAACCTTCATCTCCGCTGCGCTCACCTAAAGTGATCTTTATGGCCTACTTGGGCCAAGTCATGGGAGATGCACTTGGAGCTCGAGAATCAGAAGGTTATGCCCGCCCTGAAGAACGTGGAGGGGTTACTGTACGATCACCTTGACTTCCTCGATGAAGGTTTGACACCTTTCCACGCGTCGCGTGCACACGACATTTAGGATCTGTTTGGCCTATCGAACTACCCGGAACTTAAAATGATACCCTTTTCCCGCTTGGGCGTTCCGCAAAAAGCTTCACAACGGCGGGCGCGGAAATCACTCCCCTGCAACCGCGTCCATGTCGCAACTGCATCCACAAATGTCGGAGCAGATTTTGTCTCAGCCCTATCCTTCACCCGCTCTCTACCGCTGTTACATAGTACAAGGGCGTCCCCGCCGTTCCCCTTCTCTTCGTCTGGCTCGGTTGGGGGAACCCTTCCAGCAGCTGGTCCCGCGCGCGAATTTCTCAAGTTCAGCTGTTTCGGCCGAGTCTAGTCGCCGCCACTGCAAGCGCAGTGTCGTCAAGTTCCGAGGGGTTGCTATAAATAAGCTTTTTCGCACTGACCACCTAGGCCTTCGAAGAATGAGTTTGACCGGTTACAGATAATTGATAATCCTCCGAAACGGCCCGTGCGTTTGGCAATTGCGACAAGAGCGAAAGGCAGCGGCTGGAGACATTCTCTTTATATACCGGCTATTTCAGCCTTGCTACGCTGATCCTTCTCTTGGAGAATCGCACGTCTGACATTTCAAGGGAAAGGGTTGCGACGATGCAGATCTCAAGCTTTCAAGTATCACAATTTCTCCCAGCGAGTCGGAGGGGACGCTTGATCTTCGGTCTCATCGTTACCCTATTCTCCCTTCTCTTCCTGAGTACGTGCACTGCCCTGAACACCAATGGACACTGCTAACCAGATTGCACAGTGCCCGGCCCACCACCACATCAACACATCCACAATTTCTACCATGATCACTTCGGTCCACCTCCAGCACCCTACGCGATCGTCACCAACGTCCAAAACGAAGCGTACGTCCCCTATGCCCTAACCCTCGGCTACACGATCCAAAAATACAACGACCTCCGGGACATGGAGGCCGATATGGTTATCATGATCCCCCGAGTCCACGACATCCGTCCTTCCTCCCTCTCCAAACTTCAGCGTATCGGTTGGAAGATTAGGTTCGTGGACGATATCCAAATTGGCGGAAGTGAGAATTTGCAGAGCAATTATCGGAGGAATTTCTTGAAGTTTTGGTGTTGGACGTGGGTGGAGTACAGAATGATTGCGTTTATTGACGCGGACTGTTTGGTGAGGGGAGATATCTCGAGGTTGTTGAACGAGTCCTTCGGTTTCGGCGCAGTACCCGATTGTTGGCCGGACGATTTCCCCTCGAAAACATTCAACGCCGGCGTCCTTTCCCTAACACCCTCAGTGGAGACCTTCGACGCCCTCCTTAAATTCACAGGGGAGAACAAGTTACCTTGGGACGCCGAACAAGGTGTCCTCAACCGCTTCTTCAGCCTTCCTGACGACGTCTTCCCGGAACGTTCGAGACGCGTGATTCCGTTGACGTATAATTTGAATTTATTGGCGTTTTCGAATTACCGGGAGGAGTGGGATGGGATGTGGGATGATGCACGGATTGTGCATTTTACGGTTGCGAAACCGAGGACGACGCCGTGTGTAGAGAATTGTTATTGGGAGGAGCCGAAGCAGGAATGGATTAATGAGTGGGATGAGATGAGGAGGAGGTATGGGTGGACTTCGAAATTACCGAATATGGCGTGAGGAAATGCGAAATCAGAAGCACAACTTAAAGACGAACACGCAGATACATACCCGTTGGTTAGGAGCCGGAGTTATCATGGGATAGTCAAGCTTAATAATTAACAATTTATTCCACAAACGAAGTACTAAACGCTTGATGATCCTAAAGCAAAAGGACAGACATAACCCAAACAACCGTCAACGTTAACCATAACTAACGTACCACACGTCGTGATCCTTCCGTATCCTTAGATAATTTAATCATCGCTCAATCTGCTCCTGGTGGAGACGATCGATCCCTTCCTCAAGTTACCGAAGATAGAGCCCTTCCTACCACCGGGCGTACCCTCATCAGCAACATCGCTAGCCCTGTACTCCTCAACACCAGTCTGATACGTCATTCCATTCCCAGCATAGTTCGCCCGTCCAGGATCAACGAAACGTAGGTATCCTCTGTCAGGCTGCACCCCCAAATTCTCCGCAAGCCAATTCGACATCGTCGCAGCATGACGCCTGTTATGCGTAGGAGTCAACATTGACAACGACGTGACCGTCAAGAAATACGCGGGATCAAGCGTTCCGCCGAGGAGGAGAAGCTTTCCGTGTTCGATGGTGACGCCGATTTGTTCCTCGGAGCGGTTGAATTTCTGGGCGATGTACGAGGAGAGGGCTTTCGCGAAGAAGACTGAGTCGGGGATCTTGACATTGGTGCGGAGTTCGATCCAGACAGCGGAGCAGGCGATGCGGTCGCTCTCGCGGGGTTTCTCGCGTTCGTTGAAGGACTGCATGAACGAGTCGCGACGAACCTCGGGGCTGGTGCTGGTTGCGCTGGTTGCGCTGGAGGAGTTGATGGAGGCATCTTCTTGGACTGAGAGGTTGCGCATCTGGTTCGTCACGACGGCGCGAGACCCACGACGAGAAGAGGTCGGAGACTCCCTCTGCGAACCAGGATCAGCGACAGACCCACGGCGCATTTCCCTCGTATGGTCCTTGGGAGCAAACATAGAAGCCTGAGCGGGCACCTGCTCCTCAGTGACGGTAACGGGGTCCTTGTTGTCGGATCCGTTGAAGTTTGGCGTTTTGAAGAAAGACATTTCGTGGAAAGCTTGGAAGGTGTGCCGAGGAAGATGTGGGATGTGTTGGCGCCAAAAGGGTTGTATGAAGTATGAAGTGTTATGGATAGGCGAGCCGCTCTAGAAGGCTTGATCCGTGGCGCTTCCTTTGGTCACGACGGGTGAAGAGGTGGTCGGGGTGATCAGGGTGGTTGGGAGTGGAGGGTGGATAAGGTGCTCGCACGGACCACCTGAGCAAATAGGAAGAACATCTCCGGAATGCTCATATGACGATCACAAATCACAAATGAACTATCGAAGGTCCAAAGGCGTCAAGCGGCCTCGAGACCTGCGTAGCATCGCATTGTGAGCGACGCGCGAGGGGCGGGATTAACGTTTCCGGCGAAACTCGCCCTTCTCTTGCCCCTGGAGCCGTCAGCCGAGGCCCGTTGGACGGTCGAAAGGCTCCATGTAGATCGAGATTTTGTTATCAAAGGAGTGTCGTCTTACCAGACCTTCCTGGAACTGGAGTCAGCCGCGGGTACGGTCACGTGTTCACGTGTCGACGTTACGCGTTACGTGACGAATTCGGACTCGTAATTGCCCACCCCTCTAAACATAACCCATAATGTCTAACCCTGCAAAGCCTATCGAAGACCCTGACCTCGACTCCGAAGAAGACGACGAGGACTTCATCCCAGACGCCACCGGAGCTCAAGTCGATTCCGAGAACGGCGACTCATCCGACGACGAGGATGAACCCCCAAAAGTCGATGACGCCGGTATTGACTCGGGGGACGAAGCCGTCGCGTCGTCACTCGGAAAGCGAAAGCGAAAGACTAAGGGAGCTGAGGAAGAAGAGGGTGGCGAGGGAGGGTTGATCAAGACCCGTGCACAGCGGGCGAGGGAACATCAGGAGAAGAAGAGTGCTGTGGCAAAGGGTCCGGTGACGCAGGATATCAACGCGTTGTGGGCTGCGATGAACTCGAAGCCGTCACCATCACCCGGTCCTGCTACCACGTCACCTTCCATTGCTACAGAGTCTACTCCAGGACCAGTTGGTGACGCACCAGCACCAGCACCTTCCTCAGCGATAGCATCAGCAGCGGGAGCTCCCGTTCATGACGAGGGTGCCCACTTGATCAAAATCAAGCGAACATACGAATTCGCCGGCGAGACAATCACCGAAGAAATTGAAGTCCCAGCCGACTCCGCCTCCGCCCGTGCCTACCTCGCCTCAACGAAATTCCCCACCACCTCCTCCTCTGTCTCCACCACCCCTACTCCCTCCCTCGCCGCCAGTACCAGTGCAAGTACTGCCTCTGGTACACTTCCACCAAAACGCGACCCACCCCGCAAGCGCGTGTCAGCCCTCGAATCCGCCTCCACCAAAGCCCCAAAACTAAACACGCTCGAGAAGTCGCGTCTAGACTGGGCCTCGTACGTCGATAAAGAAGGCATATCCGAGGAGTTGAAGAAACATAACAAGGATGGGTTTGTCGAGAAACAGGGGTTCTTGAGGAGGGCGGAGGAGGCGAGGGTTATGGAGGTTAAGGAGGGGCAGAGGAGGGAGGCAGAGGAAAGTAGGAGGAGGGCTGGGTTGCCGTAGTTTAGGTTGGGTGCGAGCAGAAAAGTTGCAGATTTGAGAGGGATAGGTATCGTTTGCTCGGTCTAAATTGGAGTTGGAATTGCCTGTGGTCGTAATACGACAGGTGCACAGCGTCCTTATCAGTCACTTTAGGCAACGAAGTTGAATATACAAGACTATTACAGCTGGTACCTATCAAAGTACTGGTTATAGCTGGTTGTGAAGTCGATGACAACGTGTTCTGCTGGTCGAGAGAATATCGTCGTGACGCAGCTGTATCGTGCGAACCAGAAAGAACCAAACAAATGCCCCGCACCTCCCTCAAAACCAATCGCAGGTCGCTCATTCCAGACTATGCTCATCTCGAGTATACCCTCTAGTCGGTTTGTTGCTCAACGTGAATGATCGTCCAGCTGAAAGGTGCTCACGTAAACACGTTGGAGTACCGTGGGAAAGCCCGTGCACGACTCTATCACTGTTTTGAAGTGCGATCCAAGATGCTACTGCGGCTGTGAATCACGATCAATATATCAGTATGGCAAGTGAAACGCAGAGCCTTTCCAAATCTATTACTCGACTAACAATATAGGAGACGCAGCAAAAGCGCAGCTAGGCTAACGTTGCAATTGCGCAAGCCAAATCAAACATCACATGCCTAAACTCCAGTACAAACGCCATCCAGAATCCCAACAAACGAACATAACTTCCAAATCACATCACTTCTCTCCCTCCCCCGCTTTCGCCTCCATTATCTTTCTCAGTCTCCGTAAACGTCAACGCTCACCTCCCCAAACTACTCGCCTCACTCCCCTCACTCATCGTCCTCTCCCTCTCCCTCCCGTCGCCTGCTTCCTCCTCCTTTATGTCTTTCCCATTCCACCAACCCCCCAACCAACTCGCCCTCTTTGGATTTGGAGGAGGCGGAGGCGGACTATTCTGCTCAACCAGCCTCAACGTTCTCAAACCTTGCCCTTGCCCCTTAGGCGTGCTGTCTACTTCAGTGGGTCCGACCCCACCACCGACCGTCGTACGCGGGAGGATCGGCATACGCGGTCGCCCTGCCGGCAACAAAGCGCGGTGCTGGGGGGAACCTAGGGAGGGAGCGGGGGCGCGGTAGAGACTATGCACAATGGTTGCACTTAACGGCGTGGCTTCAGACGTGGTCCGGGCATGGCTGGGTCGAGGGTCCGTGGGCTGTGTCGCAGCACGCGAAATGAATGAAAACCGTTTAGCCTTCGTCCGTCGAGAGTCAAGGGTGGGCGAGGAGTTAGTGTCATCAAACGACCGATGCAGCGGGCTCAACGGTGTACTCGGCGTCGGCGGCATCCTCGCCGGCGTACTTTGCGCCGAATTCACACCAGCTCCCCCTTCTCCTGCACGAATCGTCGCATCACTGGGGGGTGGTACTTCGTCCTTTGAGAGAACGGCTTCGAAGCGATGGTCGAGGAGTCTTTGGATGATGTTCGAGATGTATGTCGTGAGGGCTTTGTTCCCTTCTGTGAGGTGCTTGACTTGTTTCTCGAGGTCTACGATGCGCTGTGCATCTTGTCTCGACTCCACCTCCGCAAACTCATTCGCCAAACTCCCCAATCCCAAGCCCATATTGTCAGAGGTCGGCGAAGCAGGCGTCGAGTGCGTGGGCGAAATCGGCGGAGACGAAGCGAACTCACTCATGAACTCCCCAGCCGTAAAACTTCCATCCATAGTCTTCTCCGTCAGTAGCATCTGATACTCCGAAACCTCCTCCACCAACCTCGCATTCTGTTCCTGTAACTCGTGGAGTTCGTCCTCGACGGCGCTCAACCTCGCTAACTCTTGCGTTGTGTCGGCTAGTTCGGTTTGTAGGGCTTCGATTGTTGAGGTGGCGGATTCGGTGGGGTGGATTGGGGAGGAGAGGGAGGATGCGGTGTAGAGAGACATGGAGGAGGTAAACGTCAGAGGCGAATCGAGAGTGGGCGTCGGCGGCGCGAACCCCAAATCCCCACCCTTCCCCTCCTCCGCTTTCAGCTCCCCAACCCGGGGCGTCCCCCTCCCCATAAGCTCCTGCAACCTCTCCCTCACCCCGCCCAACTCCCCCTCCAACTCCTCCCTAACCCCAACCAACCCCGCAACCTCCTCCTCCAGCACCCTAACCCTCTCCCCCTCCTCCCTCCGCGCCTTTTTCTCGGCACGGAATTGTGTGAGGAGGGATTCGTGTTCGTCCGAGAGATTGGAGTAGGCGTCTTCGGCGTGGGAGAGGTCGAGGGTTAGGAGGGAGCAGGTGCGTTCGAGGGAGGAGATTAGGGATTGGGCTGCCATCAATTCCTCCCTCAAGCTATGTACGACTTCTTGGGCTCCGGGTTCTTCGTCACCACTTCGGGGACTGCCCTTCACGGAGGAGCCGTAGCGCGCACGATACGGTGGTGAAGAAGGCGTTTCGGAATCATACACTTTCGCCCTCCCCTGCAGCCGACGAGTCGGTGTAACTGTAACTCCCGCTGTAGGCATAGAGGAGTATGTGGTGTCGTCCGTGGAGGTGGAGTTCCTGATTGATACACGGCGACGGAGGGAGGAGGGTGAGGAAGAGGTGCTGGAGGAGGAACCTTGTGATTCGGAGCGTTCCATGCGGGACATGGTGGGTGTATGCTGTGTTGCCGCGGGATGTATGCTCGTGAAAGATGTGCCGGGACGTATGCCGTGGAGGCTGTGTAAATCTGTATGCTGGGTGAGAGCTGTGGAATGTAACGTCAACGGACCGAGGTCGCTGGTCCGATAGGGTCCGGAAGCGACAGTATGTTTGTCAACCGAGTCCTTCCCTGCTAAGCCGTTTGCCTTGCTCGTCAACAAATGCTCGTCGAAGAATTCACCTTCTCCCGTGGTGGTGAATTTGGTCGAGGCTTGAGCTTTCAGTGTTTACATCCTCCAGGGGTTAATTACCACATGTGCACACATACAGCTAAGTGCAATATCCTTGACAAATGCGCGTTTCACGGGTCCCCCGCGCGGGGGTTGTCACCTCAGCACCAGATCAATGTGTAGCTACAGGCGTAGAGCTTAAAGTGAAGACGGCCGTGGACAGTTCGAAGAAATCCACGTATATCAACACGACCCAGCACTGCCATTTCGCTAGGCAGTCGGCGTCGGTTAATAACCCTTGCTACCCCTGGCGCCTCTAACCCAATCGGGCACACGAGACCCAGCCGCACAGGCGTAGAACACAGTTCCAAATTCAATAGCATACAACCTTATTTCGACCACCCTTAACCTCCATTTCTTCGGTCGCGAAGACAGCTATCGTCGTAAGGTACCTCGAGAGGATAGGAGCATAATGGCCGAGCTGCCTTTGCCTTCAGCGCAGGGTCCACGCTCCCAACGTGCGACGTCTTCAGCTGCGGGAAGCGGTATGGTATCTCTCGGTGAACCGATGACCATGTCCAACTCCTCCGCCTACTCCCCCTCCCGCTCCGACTCGAGCGCGACGGTGAGTTCGAGCGCCGTTCAGCAGGCACAGGTCCACGCGACCTACAAAGAAGCCATCACGGCCGTCGCAGCAGCAAAAGAACGTGTGAGGCAGTTAGGATCAGCACAGGTTCCACCGCCGCCTAAGCCGCCACAACAACTCAACAAACATCTCAAGAATTTACGGAAGAAGGTCATGGACGGGCTTCTTGGTGCGCCGGAGACTGATGTGGGTGTAGGTGGATTAGCGACCGCGGCAAACGAGACGCATCCCGCTCTGGATTTCGTGGGGACCTTGGCGCAGAAGATCAAGGAAAAACTCCCGATTAACACGAATAACCTCGCCATCTATCTGGAAAATGATCCGGTTACGTGGCAGACAGCACAAGCCCTCATCGAGCTCTCCATGGTACAATTCACGCACGTACTCCGCGCAGTGTGTGCGTTGTTGGAAACGATATCGGCGCCATACGACATTACACATGAACGACTCCGTCCTCTAGCGATTTTGCAGAGCGAGAATCTGTTGTTGAGGATTTTGGCAGAGTGTGTTGGGAAACAGTGGTCATACCACCGCTCACACAACCCTGACCCGACCAACAACGACCCCGAGTACACCCTCCGGACCACAACACCCTCTCGGAATGAGTCGCTGTCATCGCATGCCGGAACCGATACCATTTCGTCCGACTCCTACTCCTCCTTCTTCCGACAAGCGACACTAATGGCGTACCAATCCTCCGCCGAACGGGACGCAGGCTGGGCCCACAGCACCGATAATGTTGATTGGAGACATTGGATCGACCCACCCCCTCTTCCCCCCAACCTAGCACGCTACGTTTTCGATCTCGTGGGGCGGCACGTACACCACTGTATGCGAGACCCCGAAGACGTCGACGCACCTCAAACGGCAGGTGTTGCAAGTGAAGGTGCGGGAAGCAGTGTGTGCTATGATTCGGATGAGACGAGCTTGTTGATGAGTGATATCTTGCACGAGAAGACGCGGAGTGCGGAGAAAGTCGTCGCGTATGTCAGTGCGAGTAACTGGAGTATGGTTTTGGGTAGGAGTTTGGAGCATATCCGCTGGTTATCGGTTCAAGAATCCAGTGCGGATATGGGTCCGTTGAGGAATATGGCGCTGTACCAGTACAACTCGAAACGCCTCTCTGCGCAACTTTGCGAAATGTCAAAAGCGATCCCGCACCTCAAGAAAGGTATGCAGAACGTCCTTGCCGAATCCTTGCGTCGGGGAATATGGCGATGGATTGAACTCTACCCTAGGGAATTCGTGGGGCTGTGGAGGACGAGAAGAAGGCTGGAGGGAGCGGGGGCTGAGGAGATGTTTGATTTGGTGTACGGGATGGGGAGTGATACGAAGCGGAAGAGTGTGTTTAGGCCGTTGCAGACGATGCTGTTGCTGCTCTGTCCAGATGTATTTACGACGTGTATGTTGAACATGGAACAGCTCAAATCGTCCTCCACCTCTAAGGGGCTCGGACATGGCGTGGGGCATGGTGGGACGCATGGGATGCCGCATGCACGCAGAACCGAGTTTCTGGCGAACTTGAAGAAACATATCAGAGGGGCTGCGTTGGGTGCAACCCTGAGTCAGGGAAGTAATAAGTTGTATTATGAGGCTGTTGCGTTGTGTATGGTCGATATCTGCAAAGCTGCGTCGATGCTACCACCGAACGACGGGAGTGTTCTACGAGGGTATGTTATTGACGTGGAGAATGAGGTTCGGAATGTCTTGTTTCCGGCTGGTGTACAGAATACGATCACGGACCAGCAACTCCTCGTCGAGGGGTTTCTGGCGATGTACAAGATTCACCCCGAGGCGACGTTGGCGAGCATTGTTCCGAGGTGTATCGACCAGGGAAGTGTCTTGCTGCATCAATTGGTGTTAGTGAAGGCTTGTTGTGTACTCGCTGCACAGGCGAAAGTCGGGAAGACGCAGAGTTGGACGCCGGGGATTGAGGGGATGTACACCGTGCTTGCGCCCGCGTTTCGCAGGATGATCGCGAATGGGCTCATGGCGCAAAGTGAGAAAGCAAGTGCTGGGTTGGGGGTATTTGGAACGTCCGTTCCTAATTCGCCGACGCCGAGTCATCTGACAAGTGTTCATGGGTCGGGACGGGTGAAGGGGAAGAACGAGAAGAGGTACGTGGATGATGACGTGGTCAGTCCGAAGACAGTGCTGAGGTATGTCTTGAGACTGTATATGCTCGACATGAATTTCGCGGCGTTGCATAGTGCTGTTCATCGGAATCATGCGGCGGAGACGATGATGAATACCATGGTCAGGTGTATTGGAGATCCAAATAAGAAGTTACGCGAGAGTGCGTTGGATTTAGCGGTTTTCTCGATGAGTCCTGCTGGGGCTAGTATTGGAATCTCGAACAACCCTGACCCGGAGGATCAGATGCATGCTTTTTGGATGATTGGGAGTGGGTTGCTCCTCGCTATCTCGCGCAAGATTCTGGAGTATGGGCAGACAAGGGATGAGTACCGATCAGAGTTGAAGGCGTTGTCGAACATTATGCGGAGCATGAATTCGTTTTTGAGGGTCAATCGGGATCTGGCGAGTTTTGGGATTAAGATCCCGGAGAGGCTGGCTGCGATCGTGGCGACGGAGATTTCGCTGTTGATTTTGTTGTGTTCGACGGATATGACCACCATCACGGGCGCCGTGAACGCATTCCAGGCTATGGTTGAGGGATGGTACTTGACGGAGACGTATGAAAATGAACTCGATACGACGTATACGAATGTCATGAGCAACTTCCCGTTGTATACGGAGTTGTTTACGGAGGGCTTCCAGGTTGTTACGAGGTTTGCGGTGCAGAAGAGGATTAGGCGGATGTTGAGGATGATGCACCGGCCTACGCCTGCTAACCTTGCCGCATGGGGGGAGGGATGGAAGAGATGGCGTGTGCTCACCAAGACTGTCGTCAAGCTTGCCCTCGAAACGGAAGATGCGGAGCGGAGCGATGACCCTGCGAGACGAAAGGCACTGGCTGATGCGAAGAATGCGCTGATCACGGAGAATTTGAATCCACCTGTGCTGACGAGTGATTTGAAGACTTCGTGGAGGAACTATACTGGGTTCTGTGCTTCCCTTGGTGGATGCTGCGTGGACGAACATTGTTTCCCGATTGTCGGGCAGCATAGCAATGGCTTGCCGAACTTGAATGTCCAGTCTGGTGATTCTTCGATTATGGGGGAGAATGAGGCGCCGATTGTGCAGTTCATGAATGAGTTGTCTGATTTACTGGTGTGCAACTCGGTCTTTATTCGGGAGTTCGTCAGGGACACGCTTGCATCGGACTTGAATCCGAGGTTGCATATCCTTTTGCTTCAGTCTTTGGAGACGAAGGTGAAGGAATTCTTTGACTCGAGGGGTCATGCTATCTGCAAGGATCGCCATACGCTTTTCGTTGAGCAGGCGATTGCGCTGCTGAAGTGCATCTTCGATCGCGTGCAGGATAACCTGGATACCACCTTTGCTGTTGACGTTGGGCAGATCATCCTGAACCTAGCTCGTTACTTGGAGCAACTGACAAAAAATGCCACGACTGTTCGCATCCGGATCAAGATGGCTCAGTTGTGTGAGGTCGTGGCTACGCAGAGGGATCTTCTTAACCTGCGCCAGGAATTCCGAGTCAAAAATGCGTTGGTTCGCTTGTTGGCATACTGGACGACGGATATGATCAGCAAGACTGCCGAGCTCATTCCAGATGATCAGCAATCCCAACTGAGTCGTCTTCAGCGTGATCTGGACTTGGCTGTGCTCAAGGCTATTTGCTGCTTATTGTGGAAGTTGCCTTTGCAGCCTAAGGATATCCCTAATGCGCTTGACCTTGCCGATGCGAAGTCACGGCTGTTCTACGAATACTTCTCGGTCTTCTTGAAGGTTCTGAACAGATGTCGCGTGTTAGAGGTGATTGAAATTGGTCATTTGACGAAGAACGCCAGTCAAGATCTGCAGCACCTATACCAGAAGAGCAAAGACCAGGTAAGGGACCTTGGTCCATTGCGTACTGCTTGTGTGCAAGCTATATCCAATATGCTCAGCGCCAATGTGGGCAGTGGATTGAAGCACACCTTGAGGTTGAGTTACCACGAGGAACCAAAGATTCGGTCTGCATTCTTGCAAATCTTGACGGATGTGCTGTCTCAAGGTACCGAGTTCCAGGTCCTTGCTCAGACTGCTGCAGGCGACAGCTACGATCGGTTGGTCGACGCTGTCACCGAAAGTCTTGGGTTTGCTCGTGCACTCTGTGACAGTTGTCCGACATCTGAGATTGATGACATGGCAATTGTGATGTTGAATCTCTTCCAGTCCAAAGGTCGAGCGATGGATCTCTTGAAGACATTGATCATTGACGAAGTGGAGAATACCGACAATGAAGCTGAGCTTCTTCGAAGAAACTGCATGGCAACGAAGATGATGTCTGCCTTCGCCAAGCTTCATGGCGGTACCTATTTGGCCTCCACTCTCAAACCCGTGCTTGCTGAGGTTTTGAAGGATGCATCTCAATTGGACCAGGAGCTGGACCCCTCAAAGGTTCAATCCGATCAGGAGCTGGCTCGTCATGTTCAACGTTTGAAGTCGTTTACGCAAAAGTTTATCGAGGCCATCTGCCAATCAGCGGCACACGTGCCTGCACCGTTCCGGGAACTTTGCTACCATATCTCTGTATGTGTTGGCGTCCGTTTTCCAGAAGCTAAGTATACTGCTGTTGGTGCTTTTGTCTTCTTGCGTTACTTCTGCCCCGCTATTGTGGCTCCAGAGTCCGAGAGCTTGGTTGATTCTGTTCCAACCAGGGAAGCGCGAAGGGCTTTACTTTTGATTGCTAAGATTGTCCAGAACTTGGCCAACAACGTGCTCTTTGGTGCAAAGGAGCCTTTTATGGTTATCCTCAACGAGTTCTTGACCTCAAACATCTTTACGGTCACTGCGTTCCTGCGCGACATATCGGTGAACCCTGTGAACCCCGGCTATAGTCTCCAGCGTCTGGCGGCCCAGCAGAAGCCTACGAAGGATGTTCAGATCATGTTGCACAGGTTTTTGTTTGAGCACAGTGACCGTATCAGGAAGACCCTGGTGACCCAGCGCACTTCTGGTAAGGACAATGGTTCTAACGCCGCCCCGGAAAGTTACATGGACATCCGTTCGATATTTGCCCGCGTGTCGACTCTTGTTGCGCAGCTCGGGTCTCCACCTCTTGCCCAGAAGGTGGACATGCATGTAGCTGGCAATCCGGGGGAAATTTCCATGGCGGCTTTGCGACAATTCATGTTGCGTAACAAGGATCGAAACATTGACTCCATTTTGTCTTCGAAAGTTGTTTACAATGCTGGACTTGGAAAAGATGGACGCTCTGTGATCATCATCCACTTGTCGAAGTTCCAAGCTGAGATCATGGATTCTGAGCTTATGGTATACTGTGTGCTCAAAATTCTGAGTGGAGTGTGGGCGAACCCCTACGACTTCCTGATGGACGCCACCCATTATTCGGATACGAATGAAATGCATTCGTCCTGGGTGCAGCAGCTTCTCTCGGTGATACCGGCTGAGGCAAGAGCCAACTGCGGCCGATTTATCTACCTTAACGTGAACACGACATATAGGAGGCGGTTGCGCAAGCGCATTAGGCCTGCAATTTCATTCCAATTGCAGAACAGCGCCATGTTTTCCTCGATGTTGTTCCTCAGCAACGTTCAGGATCTTCAAGAGTTTTACAACTTGTCTGACGTCAAGTTGCCTAAAGAGACACTTGCCTTGGCGAACGAACCCTTTGCACTCTACCAAAACGTTATTCGTGTGTCACCTTCGTCGACGTCGAAGAGAACACCGGTTAACATTAAGATTGGCACCGAACATATTCAATTGACGACGATGAAGCCCATTGAGATTCTCCCTGGGTTCCCGCACGGGCACCTCAATGATGTCTACAAGTTCAATGAGATTGCTGATGTTACTTTGATCAGTGGAAGCAGTGGTGAAGACAGTCACTTGTTTGTGCTCCGTGTTGACGAAGGCAAGACTACTATTACGTTGTCCAGCAGGAAGCGACGTGCTATCAGACAGCATATTCTGAAAGCACAAGCTACACAGGTCGCCTCGGGTCAAAGTACAGTAACAGACAGACTCATTCGGCCGAAGGATGTTCCCGGAACCCTATTGCAAATCGCTCTTTTGAATATTGGAAGTGAGGACGCTAACCTTCGGGTGTCAGCATACAACTTACTCTGTGCAATCAGCGTGGCTTTCAACTTTGAAATTGCCAAAGAGGTGCTCTCTTCGGAACATATCTGCATTCCAGCTTCTCATTCCCTATATGTGGCCGAGCTGAGCAGTAAGCTCGCAGCCACGCAACCACAGTTGACGTTTGAGCTGGTATCGGAGTTCTTCGTGGGCTACTACAAATGTTCTCACTTCCAGAAGCAGCACACTATACGATACATCCAGCCATGGTTGGATAACTTGGGCGCTTATGTGCCTTTGTTTGGTGATGACAAAGCTCAGGCAGAGGCGAAATTACGCCAAATGATGTTGACATTGATCCACATGACACACGGTGATCCGGAGTTCTTCCACGGGATTGAGCGGTGTGTCTGGCGTACTATTGGTCGGATTGAGTCTATTGCATCAATTGTCCTAGACGAATTGTTGCGTTTCGCTCTTGATCATGGTGTTGGATCTCCGCAGGCTGAACTGGTGGCCAGAATCTTCACTGCTTTTGAGCCTACATACTACTATGGAAAGCTTATCACGCGTCTGCGGAAATCTATCTCGCGAGCCTTGATCAAGTCTGCAAGCAGGCTGCCTGATGATGCTCCTTCCACCGAGTTAGGAGTTTTGGTCCGCGTCCTCCTTATGGTTTCCTTTGGCAGCGGGCCTCATGCAATGATGTATATACCGGAGATCTGTCATATCACCATGATGATGGTTGGCTGGGGCCGATATGCTGTCAGGGCTTCCATGCATGGAATTTTGATCAACACTCTGCAGTCTATGTGTACTGCCACTCACCTAGACGAGGCTGCATCACAGAAGATGAAGGCGGCTTTAGTGGAGTTGTCGGGACCAAAGTTCAGGCTCTTGTTCGGTCTTCCGTACCAGATGGCAGTGAACCCTATTACCTACCTCGATTCGCCTGCGGACAGTGTCACCAACGAAAGCATTCCTCTGGCGTCTATGGAGATTGTCGCACATTTTGTTTTGGATGGTTTGACAATGTGCGCGCCTTCGATGGATATTGCTAACGCCTGGAGGGCTCGTTGGATGAGTTTGATCACCAGCACAGCGTTCCAGATCAGCCCTGCTTTGCAGCCGCGTGCTTTCATCGCTCTGGGTTGTCTAGCGTCTGAAGTTGATGACGACCTGCTGTATCAAGTCTTGGTGGCTCTCCGCAGTGCTCTCAAGCTTGTTGTGGCAAACGCCGGTGATCATCAGTTGCTGCTCAGTATCGTCATGAGTTTGACAAAGATTGTACACGAACTTCCTCCGGGCTCGAAGTATATCTCCGATTTGTTCTGGATCGCTGTTGTTGTGCTTCACATGGACGTTGTGCCGATCTTCACAGCTGCCGTTAATCTCATCCAGGCTTGTTTGAGCGCACTGGCTGCGGTGGATACTTTCCGTGTTGACTCCATTGGCACTGTTCTTTTGCGTGGCCGAAGTCGCCTGGAGGAAATCATGTCAGCGATTGACATCAAGATGCAGATTCACTTCGACCCGCACTTTTCCTTCGCCCTCGCTGCTTGCTTGTTGAAGGGTCTCCACCACCCGTCCACTAAGGCGGCGACTATCGCGGCCTTGACTACCTTCCTCGAGATTGAAGGGAAGAACGGAAATGAGGTGAACCACGATTCAAGCAAGACTGTAGATCCGCAGATCCTGGCTTGTCTAATGCTTCTCCTGCCGGTTATGTCTAACCCAGTCGAAGCCAAGGAGGTGTTGTGGCTCGCAGGCCTGGATGAGCCTGCTTTGGACAATGCTGAGCTTGCTGAGATTCCTGGCAGGATTTTTAATCAACTCGACATCCCCGACAACACTACGGCACTATTGATGTTGACGCTCTGTACGTCCATGTTGACGTCAAGCTTCGGAGAAGGCGAGAAGGTGTTCTTGTACAACTTCTTGGCCGAGGCAGCAGTTACTCTCCCTGAGATTTTCGCGTTGATCTCGCCAGGTCTCGTTAGCCACCTCAGCCGTGTCGTTAGGGAGTCTGCGAACATCGCAATCCTCGACGCGGTGCAGTCGATTTTGTTCGTCATGACCTCTGAGCGGATGTTGCAGACCAGTAACGGTCCAGGCAGGACTGTGGAGAGCTTGTTAGAGGAGATTCACTTCGGTGGAATCAAGGAAATTCGAACTTTTATTGCAGAAGGATCGCCACAGATGAAGCAGGCGTCAGATATCGCAGCGATGGCTATGGCGCTCGTTGAAGCTGTCATTACATAAAGGGAGAGAAAGGGTTTGGGGATAATATAGAGAAAGATATAGTTGGTCCTATGGATGTTTTGGTTTTGTTGCTGGGAGTTATCTGGTTTATTATTTACGGACTGGTTTTTGGTTTTTGGGAGCAATTGGAATAGCGAGAGCATGTTGTGTCAGTCAATTATTTGTTATCGAGGTTATGGTTAATGAGATAAGAGTATTCCAAGTATCTCAACTTCATGCGTTCCATAAGTTTTGTCGATCCATATGATTACTGCAAGCTCATCTCCCTGATGTGCCAAAACTGTCGTGACAACCACCCCACTGTTCGAGCTGAATGTCCGATGATTTTTGTTGTGAAAAGGCACCATTCCTCGATCACTCCTCATCACTATCAGGCAACTCATCATCTTCCCTCCTCGCCCCAGCAAGACTCCTCATACTAACCGGATTCCTCGCCGCACTCTGCATACTATCCGCCGGACTCGCCGCTTCGTCCTTGCCTTTGTCTTCGTCGAGGCTTTCTTCTAATTCGTTTGCGAGATCGGCGAGATCGTCCAGTTCGAAGTCGATTTCGTCTTCCATGTCATTTCGGTAATTGTCGGCGGCCTTGGGTTCCGCAGCTGTGGGTTTGGGTTCGGAGGGTTTGTCGAGGTGGAGGTCACCGAGGTCGATTGTTTGAGGAATGCGGCCAAGACGGCTCTGTGACGGTGGCTGTGGCTGTGGTCGGATTTCGGTATCGGAGTCGTCCGCGTCAGATTCGGGGGATGGTGAGCGTGGTCTCGGTTTACGTTGTTTGTGCTCGGGACTTACGCTTGAACCTGTGGCTGTTGGGAGCATGAGAGGTTGTTGTAGTACTGGTGGTGGTGCTGGAGCTTTTGCTGGAGGTTCTGTGCGTTGTTGGGAGGGCACCGGCGTTGTGGGTTTCGGTGCGGGTTTATCGACTTTGGTTAAGATGGATGAGAACGTCGTAGTCCTTGGTTGATCCGATGATCTTGATTGCATCCTCTGAGGTTGTCGTTCTTGTGATTCATGCCGATTTGTGGACGATCCTGAAGTCGTTGTTCGACTTCGTGACTCCAGCTCCGAGGAAGTCGGTGGTGAGGCTGGTCTCCTGTCTTTTGAACTGGCTCGTGCACCACGGACATGGTTCATGTGAAGTATTGAGTCGAGACGTTCAAGTGTATATTCCTGTGAACTGTTAGGAACGCCAGACATTGTGATGAAGTATTGAACGTACCCCAGTCTCCTCATTATATATCAAGACACAGTCGACGTCATTCTGTGCTTCTCGTGTACCCTCAAAGCTTTGTGATTCCTTTCCCTGTAGCTCGCTTTAGCGTTTCCCTCTCTTCAGAGGAGTCCAGTAACTTACGTTCCGACCAGGTATTTCCAGGTCGTAGTGTTCAGGGCCTCCGTGTAACCTCGAAGGTCTTATGTTGTCTGCACTCGTTGGGATGAAGCGATCTAGCCAAACACCAGTCAGAACAACTCTTCAACGGTAGATCAGAAAACATACGATGCACCGCGAAGAACGGCGAAGCCTCAGGCCTTCCCGGATCGAGGATGCTCGCACCAACATTCACTCGATATTCCTCCGCCATGATCCGGTTGATCCGCCGCAAAGCTGTGGAATGTCAAGAGCAAACTTCTGGAGATGCCGAGCTGTTCCAATGGTTTCGCGGCCGGCAGGAATCCGTTGTTGAGTGATTTCCGTTTGTCGTACCCGTTGGCCGGTACGCTCCCTCGATTGGCGTGTGCGACTGCCCCGATTGCCTAGGACGCTTTCGGCCGCCGCGCATGAGGAATGCTTGAAAGAAATAGAGGCGACATGGATTCAAAACTCATCAATTAGGTTCTTCCTTCGTGTATATCTAGAGATAAAGGTAACCATAGTATAATCGTACAAACTCCTCAGGAATCTCTCGCATAATTATCGAGAGTCCTTCAACTTTCCCTTTCCATGCATGTATATAAACCGTATTGCAAAAAACCAAGACGCTTAAGCGTACTCAACAACAGCCTCCTCAGTCTTGGGGTTGACCTTGTCACCCATACCAGAAGCGTCCATGGCGTACTGGTCACGGAGCTGAGTAGTGACGGAAGGCCTGTACTTGGTAGAGTTGCGAGCAGTAGTAGTAGCCATCATCTCATCGACCTCCTCAAGAGAAAGACCCTTGGTCTCAGGAATGAAGAAGTAGGAGAAGAGGATACAAGTCAAACAAGTAGATCCCCAGACGAAGAAGACCTTGACGCCGAGGTTACCCTTGTCCTCGTCCATCATGTAAGGAGTGACGAAAGCAAGGAGCCAGTTCCAGAACCAGTTGGAAGCGGTACCCATGGACATAGACTTCGCACGGGTCTTGAGAGGGAAGATCTCACCGACGACGACCCAAGCGACAGGACCCCAAGAACAGGCGAAGAAAGCGATGAAGAGACAGACGAAGGCAATGAGGACCTTGTTGGCAGCATCAGAGTCCGTGGAAACACCGACAATGACGACGATCCACTGGGAAACAGCCATACCGCAAGCACCGAAGATCAACAACCAACGACGACCGAGCTTCTCGACCATGTAGAGACCAGGGAAAGTAGAAACGACGTTGACAACGTTGGTAATCATAGAGATAGTGAACTCGTTCTTGATACCAGAGTTCTTGAAGAAAGTGGTACCGTAGTAGAAGATGAAGTTGACACCGGTAAGCTGCTGGAACATCTGGATGAAGATAGCGATGAGGACACGACGGAGGTTACCACCACCGGGTCCACCACGGAAGACGTCGCGGTAAGTAGCAGCACCGAGGGAAAGCTCGTAGTCGTGGTTGGCCTTGATCTCCTTCAACTCCTCCTGGATCTCCTCGGAGTCAGCGGGAAGGGCACGGAGACGACCGAGAGCCTTGGCAGCAGCCTCCATGTTACCACGCTTAACGAGGAAACGGGGAGTCTCAGGGAGAAGGAGCATACCACCAGCCAAAACAGCAGCCCAAGCGAACTGGATACCGATGGGGATACGGTAAGCAGCAGCATTGTCGCGGTCCTTGGTAGCATTGTTGACAATAGCAGCAACCAACAAACCAAGGGTAATAGCGAGCTGGTAGCAAGAAACGATGGTACCACGGATCCACTTGGGGGCGGACTCGGACTGGTACATAGGAACCAAACAAGAGATGATACCGACACCAAGACCAGCGAAGAAACGACCAGCGGCGAACAGATCAGTCATGGTAGCAGCAGTCTGGAGCGCAACACCAAGGCAGAAGACCAAACATCCGAAAACGAGACCGAGACGACGACCGAGGAAGTCACCAGTAGGAGCACCGAAGAGGGCACCGAAGAAAGTACCAGCGGAGAGAATGGAGACAATGAGGGATTGGCGGGAAGCGGAGATTGACTGGACACCGGCGGCGGAGGTACGGTCGTGGAAGGTCTCAATGAAGTGAGGCATGGCCAAGATACCGGAGATGGTACCAGTGTCGTATCCGTAAAGGAAACCACCAAAGGCCACGAAAAGACCCATCAAAATGACGGGCACATTAGATCCAGCCATTGCTGTCATTGACTAACTCTCGTAGTCGAGGAAAGAGTAGTTGTAGTGAGTAAGTAAAAAAGCTCGGAGGCTCAAAGAGTGAGATGTGGACGAGAGAAGTCGCTGTTGATGCTGATCCAAAAGCTGGGGGTGGGTGGTCCCTTCTTATAGGCGAAGACGGACAGAACCGACTGGAGAACAGATCGAGTTCCAGGAGGTCGAACCAGGCTAAATTGTCACGATGAAAAACTCTGTGGGGATTGAATCTGGGGCATAGGATTAGAGCGGGGCCGCCCCCGCCACGAGCACTAGGTGTGAAGCGCGCGCGCTGTAGGAATGGGTCCTCAGCTAGAGCAAGACTAACCCGACTATCCCGAGACAACTCCATCAGCTTAGTCAACCGACAACCGAGAATCGCCCAGTTTAACCGGTGCGACAAAGCTGATGAGAATCACCTCTGGACGCTGTTGCTCCAGGACTTTCCACGCACTTCCGGCGTTCTTCTGACGGTTTTCCGACGAAAGAGAGCTCACCAAACATCCACCTCCGTGCGGTGGATGGCATGATCGCCTCCTCTAGCTTCATTTCCGGGCAAAATTCGGCTCCCGGTTCGGAATAGCATCGGAACACCATCCGATGCTTTCCACCAATCCCGTCGCTGAAACACAGACCTGTCAAAAATTAGTACAAGCAAGGAGAATCGAACAGCACAACGAAGCTCGAACTGGAGATGTTCTGGTCCTCCGCTCGTTCGACAATACCTTTGACGGATCGTTCATCCCTCAGCT